ACTCCCTTAATTATCTAAGGGAGTGACTTAACAAAATAACCTTAGCCGGAAGGAACTGAAATAGAAATGGACTTCAATAGCCATTAAGCCTATTTAAAAATTTACTTTGTGGTTACAGTCTTTATTTATTTATTAAATAACCTAAACGTTCATAGAATTAACACTTCAATTTTTTATTTATTTCTTTAATACGTTAACATTTTACTAGACTGTCGAGGTGATAAGGTTTTGAAAACACTCTTTTATTTAATTAAAAAAATTCTATTTTATTTGTAAAAGTATGAATTAAATAATTCCATAATAATGTCATGATGATCATCAAGTTCACACTAGTCACGTGGAAGGAATATATTTTTTATAGAAAAAATTATTTATAAAAAAAAAAACAAAGAAAAAAAAAACATGTAGGCATGAATAATAATAATAAAAATAGACATTATTTCTCATAGTGGTAGAAGATGAATCCTTTTAACAAATCTGTATAAAATAAAAATTAATAAAAACCAAAGAATTTAATGCACAATATGATTCTAAAATAAAAAATAAAAAAAAATTAACGATAAAAATAACCAAAAGGCATATCCTTTTGTGAAGCTACGCAGAGGGCAGTAACATGTAACGGTTTGAAATATATAGGGAAAAAATCTGCAAAGAAAAATAAATAAATAAAAAAGAGAGAGAAAAGAATCCATATACAAGATGGATTCTGAGATTTAAATTACAAATTAGTTATATATATATACAGATACACACACACACACATATATATATATATATATATATATTTCTTTTTACAACTATCCGTGGTGAATGAATTCTTTTTTTTTTTTTTAAAAAAAAATCCATTTATACAAGGATAGTTGTAAAAATAAATAATAAAAACAAAAATAAACATATATATGTGTGTGTGTGTATGAAAAAACAAAAATGAAAAAAAAAAAGGGGGAAATAATTCATTCACTCAATGATAGGTATAAGAAGAAAGATATATATATATATATATATATATATATATATATATATAATTATTAAAAGTGTGAAGAGTTTTAGTGTTTTAATATTTATTTATTAATATAAAAAATATTTGTTTATTGATATAAAATAAATTAAAATAAACTAAAAATACTTTAATTGTTATATATATATATATAATTTACATAATGTATCTTCGAAAAATTAACATTCTTTTTACATTTTAAATTTATGACAACTCTATTGATAACGTTAGAAACAAGGGAACGGAAAAGTCATATTGTATTTGCATAAACACGTCCAATAGTACAGCTTATAAGTGAGTGGTGAGTAGCTTATAGACTTGTAACCATAAATGATAATGGCTAGTGTGCAAGAAATCTAAAAGTGAGTGGTGAGTAGCTTATAGACTTGTAACCATAAATGATAATGCCTAGTGTGCAAGAAATCTAAGTGACATGCAAAGGATTAAACTTATAACCTAACATAAAAACACTTTTTTTCATTATCATGCATGTTCGGAAAAAAAAAGTGAATTTATTTTAATAATTTTTATATTAATTTTATGACAATTCTATTGATAATGTTAGAAACAAGGGAACGAAAAAGTATTATATTTTATTGCATAAACACGTACAGTAGCATAGGTTATAAGTAGGTGAGTGGTGAGTAGCTTATAGATTATAATTTGGTACCTGTAACCATAAATGATAATTTGTAGTGTGCAAGAAATCTAAGTGATATACAAACGATTAAATTTGTAATCTAACGGATAAAAATACTTTTTTTTTCACTATTATGTCCAAAAAGAAAGAAAGAAAAAAATTACTAATCTATTATTAAAAAAAAAAGTGAATTTATTTTGATAATTTTTATATTAATTTTTTAATCAATATTATAAAAATAACTTTTCATCACGTGTTAAAAGTGTAAAGAGTTTCAGTATTTATTTATAAAAAGAGAAAAAAATTAATTATTTATTTTTTGTAAAAGAGTTATTACAAAACTCTACTTGTGTTTCAGTATTTATTTATAAATCTCTATCTATACTATTATCAAAAGTGTAAATTTTTTTAGTATTTTAGTATTTATTTATAAACAGAAATAAAATTTAATTATTTATTTTTTATAAAAGAATTATTGCGAAACTCTACTAGTATTTATTTATATCTATATCTATATTATTATAAAAAGTGTAAAAAGTTTCCGTATTTATTTATAAAAAGAGATAAAATGTAATTATTTATTTTCTAATTATTTATTTTTTGTAAACGAGTTATTACAAAACTCTATCAGTATTTATTTATAAAAAGAGAAAAAAAAATTATTTATTTATTTCCCTTCTTACATATATATATATTTTAATTCTCAACTGCGTGATATAATTAACATGTTGTAGCAGGATGTAAAAGAGAGAGGCGCAGGCAATGATGACATGACATCCATTACAATTTAAAGTTATTTTTGACTAAGTTACACAATTTTTCGTGTTGCTTAAGCACGTTTTTATTTTTATACTTTCCCGTGTGCTTTTTGACAAATTTTTATTATTTATAATTTAATTCTGTTGCTCTTATACTTTCACTCTGAAATTTAATTCTTTTGCTCTTATATTTTCACTCTGAAATTCACTTTCATTCATGTGACTTAAAATTTTCACCTATACCAATTTCTTACCTACCTTTTCAAATTTTTTTTTTTTTTTTTTTCTTTTCTTTTCTTGACTATCCGAAATGCAATTTCATGGGAAAGGCATAAACTTCAATGATTCTGAGTGAAGGCTGCAAGCATGTATGAGACTGTTATCTAGTACTCCTACTAAATGACATACACGGGCGGTTGAACAACTTCACCTTTTTATTACTCCGTATTCACCAGCTTACTAACACTGTGAAGAAACGGCGTTTGTTTGCTTTCTCTCTCTCCAACTTTAACGGCTTTTTCTCTATCTTTGGGTCTGAGCAGTTGCTTATTCATCATATTCTCGAATTACTCAAAATAATTTTAAGACATCAAATAATTTTAGTATTATTTTATTATTTTATCTATAAAATTATTTTATTATTTTATCTATAAAATTATTTTATTATTTTATCTATAAATTTTATTACTGAAATACTTATTTCAGTTTTTAGTATTTCATATTTATTTATTAATATAAAAAAAATATTTATTAACTAATATAAAAAAAATTAAAAAAAATATCTATAAAATTCTAACACAAATTACCTATTTATCTATTTATTATGATTTTTTAATAAAAAAAATCTATTTAGCAAGAATTATTAATATATAAAAAATATATTAATTGATAGAAAAAGAGTTTTCAAAAGAGTTCTTATAAAAGTGTAACACAAATTATCTATTTATCTATTTATTATGAATTTTTTAGTAAAAAAAAATCTAATTAGACAAGAATTATTAATATAAAAAATAAAATAATTTTCCTAAAACTCTACCACAAATAGCTATTTTATTTGTTGAAAAAAAAATAACTATTTTATTTTCTATAAAACCCAATGACATATAACATGTATTTATCTATTTATTCTGAATATATTTAAAGAATATAAAATAATTTTTATAAAACTCTACCACAAATTACCTATTTTATTTTATTTAAAATTCTATCACATATAACATGTATTTATCTATTTATTATGAATTTTTTAATAAAAGAAAATCTAATTAGACAATGGTATATTATTTTAAAAAAATTATTTACAAAAAAAACGTAGAAAAAAAAAACATATAGGCGTGAATAATAATAATAAAAAATAGACATTATTTCTCATAGTGGTAGAAGATGAATCCTTTTAACAAATCTGTATAAAATAAAAATTAATAAAAACCAAAGAATTTAATGCACAATATGATTCTAAAAAAAAAAAAAATTAACGATAAAAATAACCAAAAGGCATATCCTATTGCGAAGCTATGCAGAGGGCAGTAACATGTAACGGTTTGAAGTATATAGGGAAAAAATCTGCAAAGAAAAATAAATAAATAAAAAAGAGAGAGAAAAGAATCCATATACAAGATGGATTCTGAGATTTAAATTACAAAATTAGTTTTATATATATACAGATACACACACATATATATATTTCTTTTTACAACTATTTGTGGTGAATGAATTCTTTTCTTTTTTTAAAAAAAAAAAAATCCATTTATACAAGGATAGTTGTAAAAATAAATAATAAAAACAAAAATAAACATATATGTGTGTGTGTGTGTGAAAAAACAAAAATGAAAAAAAAAGGAGGAAATAATTCATTCACTCAATGATAGGTGTAAGAAGAAACACACACACACACATATATATATATATATATAAAATTATTAAAAGTGTAAAGAGTTTTAGTGTTTCAGTATTTATTTATTAATATAAAAAATATTTGTTAATTGATATAAAATAAATTAAAATAAAAGAGTTTTTATAAATAAACTAAAAATACTTTAATTGTAATATATATATATATATATATATATATATATATATATATATATATAATGTATCTTCGAACAATTAACATTCTTTTTACATTTTAAATTTATGACAACTCTATTGATAACGTTAGAAACAAGGGAACGGAAAAGTCTTATACTGTATTTGCATAAACACGTCCAATAGTACAGCTTATAAGTGATATATATATAAATAATGTATCTTTGAACAATTAAAATTCTTTTTACATTTTAAATTTATGACAACTCTATTGATAACGTTAGAAACAAGGGAACGGAAAAGTCTTATATTGTATTTGCATAAACACGTCGAATAGTACAGCTGGTGAGTAGCTTATAGACTTGTAACCATAAATGATAATGCCTAGTGTGCAAGAAATCCAAGTGATATGCAAAGGATTAAACTTATAACCTGTGGATATTTGATCAAAAACTTATTCGTGAAATTTGATCTTATTATTATACCCTTTTATAATTAAGATGAGATTCAAGTGTTATAACTTATTTATTTATAAGGTAATTTTAGAATTATGGAAGTATTACTTCATTACTTCTCACTAATTTTTTATTATTATTTTTGGATAGAAAGGATTTTCAGGAATAATTATCCCACTAATAAGAGGCAACCCAAACGTACTTCACACTAATAACAATTCCAATTCCAATTTTCAAATCCAAATCTTTTTGATTTGGTTCCAAACGGAGCGTAATTGCTTCACATACAAACGCCTGCTCTAGTGCGCTCTCACAATTCATTCCTCTCCTTCTCTGTCTCTCTCTACCCTGCAATCAATCTACGATCTGATCTCTCTCACTCGATTCAATGGCTGAAGCATCGGTTGCTCCGACGCCGCTTCTGAAAGATGAGCTTGACATAGTGATACCCACTATCCGAAACCTGGATTTCTTGGAGATGTGGAGGCCATTCTTTCAGCCGTACCATCTGATCATCGTCCAAGACGGTGACCCTTCGAGGATCATCAAGGTGCCGGATGGATTCGACTACGAACTCTACAATCGCAATGACATCGACCGAATTCTGGGTTCTAAGGCTTCCTGCATCTCATTCAAGGACTCTGCTTGCCGATGCTTCGGCTACATGATCTCTAAGAAGAAGTACATTTTCACAATTGACGACGATTGCTTTGTATGCAACTCTTCTTTTTCTCCTTCCTTAATTTCGTTTTTGCAAATTGTTTTGTGTGTGATCTGAATGTGTTATTTGATTTATTTATTTATTTATTTTGAAAGTTGATGTGGGCGTTGCTTGAAAGTTTGATTATTGATGTGTTTTGTTGCTGTGAAGTAGTGGGATCTGGTGAATTTCTCCAATATATATATATATATATATATATATATATATATATCTTGAGGGAATTTGAATTTTTGTGCGATGGAGTTGTGGGTTTTGATTTTTTGTAAGATTGGTTTATATTTGCTTCAAAAATTAAAGATTTTGCTTTTGATTTGGTTCAAACAATTGATTTGCTGATCTAGGACTGCCTTTTTTGTGGGGTTCATGAATTTAGATCTGGATTTGTTACTTGTATTTCGCTTCTCTTTAATTTTGTTTTTATAATCTCATATGATGTTTTTGAATTTTGCTTATTTAATGTGTTTGATCTGCATTGGCCTTTCTTTCTTTGAATTTCATATTGAGATTCGATCATCTTGGTAGCTTGGAGAAGTTCTGATTATGTTGGAAGGGAAGGGGAGGGGGGAGAGCTTTTGAATTTTGCATCAATGTATTTTTCAAGAAGCCATCATTTTAGAATTTCATTGTCATCATAGCATGTATGCTAGATTTGTCTACAACAAACTGAATTTTGATGAACTGGAGATGTTTTTTAGTTGATGTCTTGGATCTTGCCCATATTATATATGTTTAATTATTATCTGATACCCAATTCATATATATAAATTGGTTTTTCCTTGATATCTTTAAGTGTGTAGCATATGGATCTGATATGCACTCCTCCGGTACATACACTTGTGGATACGTGTCCAATACTTCCTAAATGTATTCATTATGAAAATATATTGTCTCTTATTTCAAACACGTTTCAGATACTTCAGGGTAGATGTTTGACATAATATAATTGATAGAAAAACCTTACAATTTCTTCAGAAGGAAATATTGAAAACATATCATGGCTAATTTAGTTTAGCATTTATAATAATGCAATATTAGTCTCAGCTTGTTTGTAATAATTAAAGTAACTAGTTCTAACATGACAAGCTCTTTGGAGGCACGATAGAAGAATAGGAAGACGTACGTTGGATTCAATCAAACGGGGACTAATCGTCGTGGCGTGGTCTCCATAGCTCCAAAGACTGACAAACGGATCAAACAATTTTTGTTTAAAATTTTTACGTAGGTATGTAGTATTTTTTTTTTTTTTTTTTTGTAGTGTATAATATTAGCATAGATTTTTTTTTTTTTTTTTTCCTTAGTTGGTACTCACACACACATGCCTCCACTAAGGTTCGAACCCCTGACCTCCCTTTGGGAAGTAGGAACCTGGTACCGCTAGGCTACTGCTGGTTATATTAGCGTAGTTTATAACTATATATAAATATCTATTTATATGCCCTTGCCGTATCTGTTTTCTATTAGAATAAAATGCAAAAAACATCTTTACAGTATTGATATAGTGCATACTCCCATCTGATGGTTGAAAAACAACCCTACAGTTTTCAAATCGTTTAAATAAGTGCATGATGTCAGATTGCTGTTAAAGGAGTAATAAAAAGATTAAAATACCTCTATTTGAATAGATAAGATAATAAATAAAAAATCAAAGGTTATGAAAAGACAAAAAAGAAAGAAATAAATGGCTTCATTTTGGTATAAGATATAACCCTAAGCAGCTAAACCTCAACCCTCAGCTTGCACGCATTACTTTCAAACTTAAGTTCATGATTAGTTCTCTCTCAACCTTACTCTCTCTTTCTCTCTCTCAACCCAACCTAAGTTCACGATCGGTTTTCTCTCAACCTTACTTTCTCTTTCTCAACCCACTCTCTTTGCTTGCACTCATTTCTCTCGACCCTAAGTTCACGATCAGTTTTTTCTCAACCTTTCTCTCTCTCTCTCAACCCACCCTCTTTGCTTGCACTCATTTCTCTCAACCCTAAGTTCACAGTTAGTTTTCTCTCAACCCACTCTCTTCGATCACCCTTATCTGCATGTCATATAATATCACTGCTATATTACAAGTAGTTATTTTATCCATCTTATCACTATAGTGGGCCACTGAGACAAGCAACTGTGAATTGTGTGACTCGTGCCTTTGGTCATTTTCCTTCCACCATTATTTGTAAGTGAAAGTGACCATAGCTTGTTATGGCTATGGGCCTATGGTGCTCTCCAGAAGAAGTGTGGAGCTCTCACGTTCCTTTTTTCTCGATTTGAGGCAATTGAATGAAGGATGAGTCTTTTGGATTCTTCTCTTTGTTTTTGACTGCACACATTTGGGCTGAAGTAGCATAGGCAATCTATATTGACAATAGTCTAACATTACCCCTCTGCATTTATTGAAAATTCTCCACACTCCTAGCCATCGACCCCTCCAAATGGCCATAATATCATAAAGCAACAGAAAGAAGTTGTAGCACCCTGCCAAAGGACAAAGCAAAAAGTTCCTTAATGCTTTAAAAGACGTGTTTAAAAGATGAGTCGTTCATAAATATAATATGGCAGTGCAAAAGAATACATGCATGTGTGTGTGTGAGAGAGAGAGAGAGATGCAAAAGGGTGCATTTACTGGGCCGATCTTAGTTTCTTTTTTGATATATATATATATATATATATAGAGAGAGAGAGAGAGAGAGAGAGAGAGAGATAAAAAAAGAGTGCAAGCTGTAGTTGAGAGAGTTGTAGAGGTAAAGAGAGTTGACAGAGTTGGAGAGAGTTGTGAAAACGACCTTGTTATGTGCTAATAGTGAATTTGTCCTAAAGTTTGGAAAGCACCCCTTACTGTCACAGCTGGTGCAAATGAGGGCCTAACGTTAGTTTGCCATTAACAGAGAATTTAAGACTTAAATGCTGTTATTAAAGAGAAAAATATATAGAGATATAAAAAAAGACAAAAATGGACAAACCAAAACCTTGTCATTTTGGTTTGCCTAAAATACCCCATCTCATGACTACGCACTCGATCACATATTTAACCATTCTCTCTCTCTCTTTCTCACATATGGCTTGCTTCACAATTTTTCTGCAACAGACCATTTAAACCCAACTCATCTCAATAGCCTTCATCATTGCAGCCACCGACACCGGAACTGCCCGACGGCCTCCATCTCCACCATTGTCGGAACCATTTTTGTATCAGCATCTCCTCCATCAGGTTTTGGCTCCCTCCTGATGGGTTCTTGTAGGGCATAACCACTCAGAGTTGTTGCGGGGAACGTGCTGCTATAAAAAATTATTTTTCTGAACCAGGTTTGATTGCACCAACTGGCTAATACCTTGGTGGCACGAAGTATACGGTGATCCAAGGGGAACTGAGGGCCATCATATGAGGAAATAAGGGCCCCAGTGGTGTTACTATTAAGAAGATGAATCAAACTTTGATCATTGGAATAGATGATGAGCCTATAACTCCTGGTCAATGCAACGTGATTGTTAAAAGGCCATTTGATAGTATATTTATGTAACTGGAAGTGATGTTGGATAACTGTGAGCAAATTGTTACCAACGAAAGATATAGTCTCTTGTATGAACTATTTGGCATCTTACTCTCTTGTGTTGGGATGGATTATGTTAATGCACTAGAATATTATCAAACATGGATATTTGGGCTTTTCTATTTTTGGTAAAAAAATTCTATATATATTTATATGAAAAATATATAAAGGGAATTTTTGAAAGAGGGAGAGGGTATTTTAGGGATTTTGTTTCTCATATATCACATCATGCTACTCACCTAGACTTCACTAATCGTGAATTCCTAACTGCTTCCTAACGGTAGGTTTTTTTTTCGCAAACAATTTATGCAACAATTTTATTTACTCAAAACGTAGTACATGGGTGTTATATGATATGAATACAATGAGGGCTTTTTTTTTTTTTTTTTAACATTTTTTGTGTGTGTGTGTGTGTGTAAGGGCAAGCCCAGTGCACGAGGCTCCTGCCATTGCGGGGTCTAGGGAGGGTTATATGTACACTAACCTTACCTCCTCATGCAGAGAGGTTCTTTCATTATTTTAAACCCGTGACCTCTAGGTCACAATGGAGTAACCTTACCATTGCGCCAAGGCTCACCTTAAATGTGTGTGTGTGTGTGATGTGTAAAGGGTCCTTTTTGTCATCTTAAAAGGGTAGCTTTGGGATTTCACGTTTACTTTATGTCACACATGGCTAACATTCATTTTTGACGGATATTGGACAAAAGGGGTGACTTTGCAACATTTTTAAAACAATAGGGGATTAGTAACACAAATTGAATTTTAGGGGGTCATTTTGCACATAAACTGCAGGGTTGATTTTTGCACTTTACCTTTTTTATTATTTAAGAATTTATCGTAGGTGTCATAACCGTTGTATTCAGTATCCATGTTATGGTTCATAGATTGGACATCATTAAATTATCTCGTCTCTTTCATCCTAGTTTGAGTTTAATTGAAGTTTTTATGGATCTTATGTGCCATGTGTTTTGATTTGAGATGGTTGGCTTAGGTTTCAATTTCATTACTGGAGTTTGTAAGAGCCATCTGTCTATTGCATCTAGATAGTACTTTGGGCTTTATTTCATGCACAAACATTGTCTTTTGAAGATGTTATATAAATTTACATCTAGAAATGTGTGTTTTTTATGTTCCTGAAAATTTTCCTTGTTAGTTGATTTGATCAAAATTATCAAATAGTCAAGGCACTCTATTTGCTTTACCATTTTTATTTATAATGTTGTCAACGGCTTTGAATAGTGGGCCATTCTTTGTTGTTCTAATGTTGAGGTTCCTTTTTTCAATAAAGGTTGCTAAAGATCCGTCCGGCAAAGAAATTAATGCACTTCAACAGCATATAAAGAATCTTCTATGCCCATCAACTCCCTTTTTCTATAACACCCTGTATGATCCGTATCGAGATGGTGCTGACTTCGTTCGTGGATACCCATTTAGTCTACGTGAGGGTGTCCCTACCGCAGTTTCTCATGGCCTCTGGCTTAACATCCCAGATTATGATGCCCCTACCCAGCTTGTCAAGCCACTTGAGAGAAACACTAGGTACAAATATCATTCTTGCACAAGAATTTACTACATACAATCTAAAGTGTATTTTCTTACTCATATGACCCTTTTTTTTTTTTCAGGTATGTAGATTTAGTCATGACAATTCCAAAGGGAACCCTCTTCCCCATGTGTGGGATGAATCTGGCATTTAACCGAGAACTGATCGGCCCTGCAATGTACTTTGGACTCATGGGTGATGGCCAACCTATTGGACGCTATGATGACATGTGGGCTGGCTGGTGTACCAAGGTACGTTTCATTTCATTAATTATTGCCTCATTGCTTCTTATTTCTGCAAATCTGCATTAAGTCTTGTGAAAAGATGTAGAATTGCTTACAGCTTTCGATTTATTGGTTCGTGTAGGTGATATGTGACCACTTGGGATTAGGAATCAAGACGGGTCTGCCCTACATCTGGCACAGCAAGGCAAGCAACCCATTTGTAAACCTGAAGAAGGAATACAAAGGAATCTACTGGCAAGAGGAGCTGATCCCATTTTTCCAGGCCGCTACCCTTCCGAAGGACTGCACCACTGTTCAGAAATGCTACATCGAACTCTCCAAGCAAGTCAAGGAAAAGCTTGGAAAGGTCGATGAATACTTCCTCAAGCTAGCCGATGCCATGGTCACGTGGATTGAAGCATGGGACGAACTCAACTCTTCGTCGTCTGAAGTACCCAACGGCACTGGAAAATAGGAAATTTCATCCATAGTTATTCTCTTCTTTTGATAGACATAGTCATTTATCCTGATCGGTTCAAAAGGACCTTAAATTAAGAACTTGAGTATTTATTTTGCAGGTTGGAGGTTATTATTATTAGTTCGTTTGTTCTTCTGTTAGTGTAGAACAATAAAATATTTAGCATTCTATTGAATTTAGATCTGAGCATTGTTTCCGGAAAATGAGTGACAAATTTCGATGGGTGTGTTTGTTGGACTTCTTTTGTTGTCTCTTTCAGTATTTTAAATTGAAACTGAGAAGGCCCAAGATCTAACTTTTTGACCAACAACAGGTCAATGTAAAATGAGAAATACTTGAAGCAGAATTCAAATTTAAGCTCTTTATACTCTTGAATGGTTTCTGAAGTGCCCAAGAGGCCAAACATGGTCAAGAGGAGCTGTAATACTTCTTGTTCTTTTTAAGACGATTTTGGCATACATGTTAAAAAAAAAATTTCCGGAAAAAACTTTTCTTTTTAAGGTAAAATATTATATTTATTTTTGCTTTTTCAGTGTTTGGCAAAGGCTAAGTCAGTGAAAGTGGAGGTATGCTATTCACAAAAAAAATGTATTTGAGTTACAAGTAACCTTATTTCTTCTATGTTAATAGATACATAATATTATTTGTTCGTTTGTTCTTCTATTAGAGGAGAATAATAAAATATTTTGCATTCTATTGAATTTAGATCTGAGCATTGTTTCCGGAAAATGAGTGACAAATTTTGATGGGTGTGTTTGTTGGACTTCTTTTGTTGTCTCTTTCAGCATTTTCAATTGAAACTGAGAAGGCCCGAGATCTAACTTTTTGACCAACAACAGGTCAATGTAAAATGAGAAATACTTGAAGCAGAGTTCAAATTTAAGCTCTCTATACTCTTGAATGGTTTCTGAAGTGCCCAAGAGGCCAAACATGGTCTAGTGGAGCTGTAATACTCCTTGTTCTTTTTAAGGCGATTTTGGCATACATGTTAAAAAAAAATTTTCCGGAAAAAACTTTCCTTTTTCAGGTAAAATATTATATTTATTTTTACTTTTTCAGTATTTGGCTAAGGCTAAGTCAGTGAAAGTGGATACGAAAGAGGGAGCGCCTCCCTCCACTTGTACATTGGTATGCTATTCACAAAAAAATGTATTTGAGTTACAAGTAACCTTATTTCTTCTAGCTTAATAGATACATAATATTAATAACAACTAAGATGTACAAAAATTATAGCATATTTTTTAATTTGTAACGAAACCTCGGAAATCTATATATTTATTTTAGATTGTTTAAGACATACGGTTTAAATATATATGTGTACACTCACTGTACACACACTTGATCTTTCTATCCTTAAACAACGGAACAAAAGTGATGAATGTACAGCCAACAACAATACGACAAGGATTGTTATTCTTTTTTCATATTGTAGGTTTTTCTTAGTTGTACACATTCCTAATTATTTTTATTCAGTATTTGGAATATTTTGAAAAATTGCCTTCAATAATAAATGTCATATAATAACCAATGAGAAATCATTATAAATTTGAGAATTTACAAATTGAATTCGTGAATTGACATTTTGGAAGAATTTGCTCTCAGAGTATCAATTTGCGCGGCGGAGTATGAGAGCGACATTTCCTTAGAAGAATTGTGTGAACTTAGGACAAATGTGTAGGTCGAGGTCGGGTGCGTAAAATAACTGGTCGAAAATTAATTGGTAAATTATTTTTGCTAAGTTTTAATATATTTTTTTTTTCGTAAATATTTTATACACAACCACACCAAAAACTAAAAATAATTTTGAAAAATATTTTACATGCAAACAAACGGAGCCAAGTGTCATCCAATTGAACCACTATTTTTCCATAGAGTTCTCTTAATAAATACAGTTTCAAGACCGGTTAGTTGTTCATAGAAACTCTTAAGAACTCGAGTCAGCAGAAGTACCAAATTTCCATAAGCACAACAATTTGTGTTTTCTTTTTTGTTCCATGTTGTAAAATAGACATTATTGTAAACAAGGGCGGAGCCAGTGTGTGCCCGGGAGAACATGCCCCCTTGCCTGGCCCCCTATATATATATGGTTTTTATTTTATTTTTTACATGTATATATATAGAAATTTGTATATTACATCCAAACAAACAGAGCCAAATGTCATCCAATTGAACCACTATTTTTTTCCACAGAGTTCTCTTGATAAATACAGATTCAAGACTGGTTAGTTGTTCATAGAAGCTCTCAAGAACTTGAGTTAGTAGAAGTACTAAATTTCCATAAGCACAACAACGGTGTTTTTTTTTGTTCCATGTTGTAAAATAGGCATTACTATCAACGCTCCCAAAGGAAGGTCAAATAGGGTTCAAGTCTCAGAAGAAACATGTATGTGTAAGTACCAACTAGGAAAAAAAAAAAATTAGACATTACTGTAAACAAGAGCGGAGCTGGCTGCCCCCTTATATATATATATATATATGGTTTTTATTTTATTTTATTTTATTTTTTACATGTATATATAAAATTTGTATATCATGCCCCCTAAAATTATTAGTTTTCAATTTTTTTAAAACTTTTTATATTTTTCCTCTTTTAATCTTTAAATTTCTTTAATTAACTTTTTTAAAAGGTTAAATTTTCCTTATTTAATCACGCTTTAATTGTTTTCTTCCAAATTCATTTTTCTTTCTCTTTTCTTTAGCTTATTCTTATTTTTTTTTTTAATAAAAAAATTCCCACTATGCCCCCCTGGAATTCAATCATTGGCTCCGCCCCTAGTGTAAATCCATGTTTTAAAAAGCTTTTACCGTGCATGGCAAAAGGGCTTTTTCCATTCCAGTCTTGTTTCAAGGGGGTATGCCTTCATTCTGATTTTGTATCTTATTTTTTAGGGTAAAGTACAGCAACACTTTCTGAGGTTTGTTAAAAGGACATTCAGATACAATTTAAGTCTATTTTGAGACAATGACACCCCCTCATGAGATTTGCAAGTCAAACATAGCCTTAAAACATGTAAAAAGTCAATTTTGCCCTTCACTATTTTATTAATTTTAATTATAAAATATCAAAATAATTAAAAGACCAAATTACCCTTGCCTCTTTCTCTCAATTACCCTCTACCCCCTCTTTCTGTTGCCTTAATTTCATCGACTTCAATTGCCTCAAGAATCAGGAATTCGAGGAAGTGACCAGCCCCCTAGCATTTCATAGGGTTCATCTTTCATCGCTGGTCTTATCTCATCCTTTCTAAGGTTTTTCTGAGGTTGAAGCCTCAATTCCTAGGATTCAAATGCTTCAATTGTTGAATCTTTCGCGATTGAAACAAGGGGTGTATATATATACATCTTCCATTGCGCAGCCGCCACTGCCCGTCCTCTGCATTGCCGCCACTGCCAAGCTGGTTAGTACCGTCACCATTCCTCTCCGATGCCAGTTAGTACCGTCACCGCCACGCCAGATCTCCTTGTCGTCTGTCCAAGTCCCTCTGGTTTAAGCTCAGATCTCGCTGGATCTCTTCCACTGCGCAGCTGCTGGCACCCGTCCACTATGGCAGTGGTTATGGTGGTGGGTGTTGTTGCGGCGGTGGTTGCAGTGGGTGTTGTTGCTGTGGCGCGCGGTTGTGGCAGTGGCGTTGGTGGTATGGATTTCTTAGTGGTGTGTTGGCGGTGGTTGTGGTGTGGTGGTTGTGGTGGGCTGTGAGGTCGGAGTTCTTAATTGGTGGTTTGGCGATGCGTGTGGCTGTGTTCTAGAAAGGGGTATTTAAGTCAATAAAAAGTGTTATATTTGTCAATTTTATATCAAAGGGTAATATAGTCAATTCATCATTGTAAGGATGTCTTTGTCCATTTTATCAAGTGTGAAGGGGTGTTTTTGTTCCAAAATGGGCTAAGTTTCTTTCGTGTTCTTTTATCAAACCTCAGTTACCTTATTTTTTAATGTATATAAAATCATCCGATTCATGGAAAAAGAAAAAAAAGAATGACACACTAGTTTTTCAAAAACATTATGCTACCATATACCATTTTGCTTACGCTGCGTTTGATTATATAAAATTTGAATTAATTTTTTTTTAATTCCGATTTCTTTCAAAAATCTAATCTATTTTTAGCTCATTTATTTTGCAAGTCAATATTTAACCAGTTTCAATCCAAAGCAGATTTTGTTTGAGCTTGAGTAGTTCAATTTATTTTATTTCATTTTCTTTACTGTACATACTTTTTTTAATATTATAAATGAAAGGGCATAGTGGTAAAGTGGATCCTTACAGTCATGCTCATCCCTTATTAGTCAACATGATCCAACTTCAGAAATGCAAAGGAGGTTTTAACACTAAGATGCAAATTACACCACATATGATCAATCAAGTCAATATCAACTCTTATAAAGCATACAGCTCCTAAGTTCACAAGCAACACATACAACTCCCAAATTCACAAGAAACAAATACAACTCCATAATTCCTCCTTCAAACATCCATAAAGTGTACACAGTCAGCCTTCCTGGACACGACTAAATCACAGAATTCCACCACCTCCATGACATGGACACCATTTTTACAACGTTACAGATTTGCAGGAAGTTATTCACCACGGAAATGGAAACGCGAAGGTTGATGAAGAGAAGGTTACTCTTGGATTTTGCAGTCTGAGAAATGCAAGCCCCAATGCCAATCTATAAACAAGTAGAGAATTCTCTTAGTCAATATAACTACTTTTTACAAGCCAATAAACGTGACTCAATAACAATAATAAACTACTAATGATAACAGATAGCAAAAACAACTATAATCTCACCTAGCAAATACAATTTTACCTGCTTGATGAGATTATAACTGACAATAATCTCACCTTTTTTGAATTGACTTAATAAGAAAAATATTATAACTGGTAAAATTTATATATGCTTCCTGGGAAGATAAAGCATCACAAAATTTCATACGATATCTAGACATCACAAAAGAGTCAACAAGACTATCTCATTGCAAAATTGTGTTAACAATGCTGTATTCTACCTTCAATTTGGTTCAGGTTTGATGGACAATGGAGATTTATTATAATGTATATGTGTGATTTAGTCATTGTGATTTAGTGGTTTTCAAGGAAAAAAAAGAACAGGGTTATTCATGTCAATTATAGAAGCAACATATAAGAGGGATATTAGGAAGCATTAAAAAAAAAAAAGAATTGCATCTATGCTTGGTACAATATATCTACATATAATTAGGTTAAATTTTATTTATTATTTATCATTTAAAGAAGAACTCCTACTCTTCCAAGATGGGTCAATGCTCAGTGTGATACTTGATAAACAGGAATGTTGAAGTTAATATAGCTAAATAGGGAGGGAAGAATAATTCAACACTTCCAATTAAGGACAACTTTGATGGTTTGATTGAGCAGATTTTTAATGTCTACAGCAACCAATATTAAAAAATTGTCTTGTGAAATAGATAGAATTGTTTTTCTCAATCCTTTTCACATCAAAGTCATTGTAATGATCATGTTTTAACCATGCTGTAATCCTGTCCAACAAGGAAAAACTGCATATATTTAGGAGCCAATAGCAGTTTCAAGAAGTACAATTTTATGGGAACAACGTGAGAAATAAATTTCACCTCTCGAATTCAATTAAACAACCATTTAAGTAATTGTGAAAAAGAAAACAAGACAAAAACAATTGTCACCCTGAATAACAAGAACAGAAAACATCAATTTGCCTGATGCTGAAGAAAATACCTCAAGATGAACAGCTAAACCATCCTAGATTGGCACACATTTTGACATTTCATCATGTATAAGAACTGTTCTCGGGTTTGGCCATTCTGTAGGACTTTAACATCTTGAATCCTGTAATACAACAATTTAATTCGTCAGACAAAAAGGTAAGTGCAAAGGAGCATAATCATGTTGGTATGAACAGTGAATTGTGACACCCCCAGCCCATGCTTTCATGTTGTTTCTGTTCGTACGTATGGAAAATACTAAAATGGGACAGGAGAAAATACATTTTGGTTGAGTCAAAATTTTGAACACTTGAAAATTAATTAAAATGAGATGCATGAGAGAGATTGTAGAACTTGAGCTTACTTGACAGAAGAATATAGTAGGGGTTCAATATCAGCTTTAAGAGAGGTAGAGGTAATTGGCATGCATTCTGACGTAGGGAATGTGGGCAATGTTGGGCCAGTAATCGCCTTTATTTTCCTCGCACTGTTTTTCAAGAACTGGACATTCCTTGATTTCTAAACATTGAAGTGTGGAAGGCAGACCCTCCTTTGGCAAGGATCGAAGCTTAGGGCACTTACGGATCAATAGACGTTTAAGAGAGGTGAGATTTTGGAGGCCACTGCCACTGCCACTGCCACTGCCACTGCCACTGCCACTGCCCTCGGATGATGATGATATGGATTTCAGATTCGGGCAGTCATGGATGCCTAGATTTTGAAAAGAGGTATGATTTTGGAGGCCCTTCAATGATATGGATTTCAGATTCGGCAGGTCTTGGATGTGTAATTTGGTTAGAGATGTAGGAAATAGAGAGTACTCATCATTGTCATCAACATCAGGAGGAAAAGAGACCAGGTCTGGATATCCACCTTTAATTTGAAATACTCGAAGAGAGGTGAGTCTGTGTAGACCCCATTCTAACAAGGGCTTCAGTACTTTCCCGCAACCAATAATAGTAAGCTTAGTTAGGTTGGGGGGCAAATTCCCATTCCCATTGCCTTGAGTAAAGGACTCAAGACATGGACAATCACATATTTCAATGGTTTCAAGTGATGCGAGGCTTTGAATCTGATCAATTGGCAACCATCTCAGATCATGGCAGCCGCTGATCTGAATCGATCTCAAGTTGGGGGTGGACAAGCAGCAGCCTGTTTCCGGAAAGGCCTCCAGACTTGGACATCTCCATATACGTAGGGATTCGAGGTTTTGAAGAATCTGGTTGGTGGTAACTAAGGATTTCAGATTCAAGCAATTCCAGACTGCAAGTGATCTGAGGTTGGGTAAGCCTCTTTCTGGAAATGACAAGGACTCCAGACCATCGCAATACCATATATTCAGATCACGGAGATGAGCAAAACTATTAGTATTCTTTATGCAACCCCCAAGTAACATTCCAACTTTTGGCCAATTCGAGATGAATATCTCAAGTGATGACATAATATCTATGTTAAAGTCCTCCTGTTGCTGCTGCTGCATGGTCGTCCCCGAAACCCAGTACTCCAAATTCACGCAGTCAGCAATATGAAGATACTTAAGAGGGGTGGGTAACATATTTTCGGTTGGCCAACTCCTCAATGATGGACAATCACGGATTTCCAAGTGTTCAACACCAGAGATGCCTTCAGGGAGGGACTCCAAGGCATCACAATTGCCTATCTCAAGTCTTCTAAGCGAGGGCGGGACACCCGTCCTCGGAAACCACAAAAGTTTTGAACACCAACTAATCTCTAAACATGTGAGAGAGGTGAGCTTATTCAGGTCATTTGGCAACTTCTCAAGTTTCACACAAGCTGTTATCTTCAGTTCCTGAAGATTAATGCAAGGCAACCCTTCATCATCTAATTGATCTTCTCCAAAGGAAACAAGTTGGGGGCACGACTCGACTCTCAGTCTCTGTAAACGGACAAGATTATTTTTCTGTGCAACCCCTCCACCATTTTGCCACAAAGCCACCAGTTGGTTGCATTTTTTGAACACAAGACTTTCGAGTGCTACCAAAGACAGCACCAATGCTTCCTCAAGCTGAGATAGCCCTCTAATATTCACAACTTCCAAGCTAGTTAGCGAGGTCACACCAACAATACTTTTTAGCACCACCTCCTCACACTCTTCCAAGTATAATGTTTGAAGAGAGGGAAGCCTTAAATGGGAAATCCTAATCAAATTCGGACAACCAAGTATACTGAGCTCACGAAGGCAAGGGAATTGTCTTCGAGCTTCTTCAACAACAATCCAATCTTTCCATGCAGGCATGTCTACAAATTTTAGAGTCTCCAGTGATGGAAAAGGAAGAACATCCCCCAAAATTTCTACTTCAAGCATGCCTTCAATGTATAACTCTTTGAGGTTGGGTAGTTTCTCGAGTGGTGCTAAAGATCTGCATTTTCTACAGCCTATAAGACTCAGGTTCACCATTTCAGAAAAGGATGGATTGCCTATCCAACTTGGAAATTCCGTGCCCCCATAGAACTTAACTTTGAGCCTTTTCAAGTTTATGTGAGGTTGCAGCTTGTCAAGCACATCCAATTCAAGTTCTTCATTTCGAGAATCGTTAAACTCACTGCACCATGCCAAATCTACTTCATTAAGGCACTCCTTATTCCTTAAATTTGCCTCATTTGCATCCCGAACATCTGTTATGTTTTGCAACTCTTCAATAGAAATATTCCCACGTAAAAGGCTCAGATTCCCCAACTCTTTCACTCTTGCCCCATTATTTTTGCAGCCCACAACAAACTTTGACAGTGTTTGCAAATTCTCTAGCTTACCAATACCTGAGGACATCTCTCGTAATTCCACAGTATCAACAATGTCAAGATGACGCAGATTAGTTAAATTCTCAGTGTTTGGAGGAAACATACAAAGATTTTTGCAACTGCGCAATAACAATGTTTGTAAATTGTAGAGAGTACTCACTGATTCAGGTAATGATCTGATTGAAGTCCTAGATAAATTAAGATACCTGAGATGTTTCAAAAGGCCAATTGAGTCCGGTAGCTCAGTTATAGAATAACCAGAAAAAGATAGCACCCTTAAGCATTGCAATTTCGGCAATAAATCAAACAAAACCTTTTTTGCTAAGTAACGTTCTTCTGAAGCATATGTCTGAATTGGTAATGCTAACAGAGTTCGCAACTGCTGAACTTTACAAAGAGGCTTGAACTTTTGAAAGACTTCAAATTTTTGACGAATAAATGACAAATGCCGAGTTCGTTTAGGAATTTCAAATTGCTCATTACCTTCCAACTTATTCAGCATAAAACATATATCCCCAGTGACGTGTAGAGCTAGATCATTTAGAAGGTCATGCATCACAAACCGTGATTTACTACCACTAGATTGTTGGAAAAATGATCTTGATAGAAGATCATCAAAACACTTGTAGCCAAAATCTTTCATTAGATCCTTTTCTTTTGATAGCTGCAACAGACCCACCCCCATCCACAACAGAACTAGTTCATCTTTGTCAAATTCATAGTCTTTTGGAAATGTTGCACAATAGGCAAAACATTGCTTCAAATGAGATGGAAGATAATGATAGCTCAATTTAAGAGCTGGAAGTATATCACTTTCTTCGGGTAGAATCCATATCCTGCTATTCAATATATCTACCCACTCATTTTGGTGCCGTTTAGTGCGCAAGAGGCCTGCAAGTGTTTTTACTGCCAAAGGCAAGCCTTTACATTTATTCACTATTTCCTCACCAATTCCTTTTAGATAGGGATCTGCATCAAAGTTTTCTTTCTCGAGTGCATGATGAGCAAATAAAGACAGACATTCATCGTTCGACAGCCCTTTTAGAAGGTAAGCCGGCTGAGACAGAGTCATGGTTGATGCAACGATTTCACTGCGAGTTGTGACAATAATTTTGCTCCCAGGTGCCCCAACATTAAAAGGACGTTTTAGGACCTCCCAGTCTCCATACTTCTCATTCCAAACATCGTCCAAAACAAAAAGAAATTTCTTTCTTGACAAGTTCTCCTTCAAATTCTGTTGAAGCATATCCAAAGACTCGGAGTCATGAGTTCTTAAAGTGACACCCTCGAGAATTGCCTTGGTCACTCTATGAACATAGGCCTGAAAATCATCAGAAACACAAACCCATGCCTTGACACCAAAATGACCCTTCACACGTTCATCATTATAGACGAGCTGAGCGAGAGTTGTCTTACCAATACCACCCATGCCCACAATGGGAATGACAGAGACATTGTCAACACTAGCTCCATCCCTCAACAACTCCTCAACTATAGCCTCTTGATCTCGTTCTCTGCCATAAACTTCAGATTTGTAGACCAAAGAAGTCGTTTCCCGCCCTCCTCTTCTCGTCTTGGACCCTGACCCAATATTCCCTTCACCATTCTCTTTCAAATTCAGGACATTCTTTCGGTTCTCAATGTCTTCTAATCTTTTAGTGATGTCCTCTATCTTCGACCTCGTATCGTTTTTGGAAGTCATCTTGGACCTTATACTACGATAAAGCTTAACAGCCGGGTTGAGTTTTTGTACCTTACTAGTAGAACCACTGGTGCTGGCATGAGATTGTTCCAAGACCAGCTGGCGTCTCAGAGCTTTAGTAGCGAGGTCGTCCAGCAAATCGTCCAAATCGTAGGCTAAGTCCGTAAGATCCTCCATCCATAATTTGACTGCAGCATCATTTTCCATTTGCTTGTCCTCCGCGTTGGCGAGAACAGCACGAATGGCTGGCAACATTTTCTCCAACTTCTTCAACTGACCATGGATTCCCTCACCGTGGGCATAGTTTGACACCGCCGGAGAGACCAACTTGTCGAGCAGCACCTGAATGATCGGCCCGAGAAAGATCCCCGCAGCCTCCATCGATCCTTTTGTGAAACCAAAGGAAGAAAGATTGAGGAGTGAGTTTTGCTTGCACGGATTAGATTCAAACCAAGAGCAAGAGGGGGTGGACGGGAAACTTCTAAAGTCCCTAGACATACTTTACCAAAGCAGTTTGATCGAAAATCAGACAAGCAAAGCATCAATTATTCACTGACAACCAATATTGTGGCATCTTTTATCTCAATCACTCATTTTCTTAGGATGCCATTTGAGTCTCTTATCTTGGATGTATTATAACATGGTATGGTGGTAATTCCTATATATGCTACGATTTCTTCTTCTATTAACCACAGCAATATCTAATGCATTATTTTAGACATATCTTTTTACATGTATTATTTTGGAAAAAAATTCATAAAACTCCTCTGGACTTGTAACAAGAATTGGCTTTGATGATTTTTTTTTTTGGCACAAAACCTCCCCCAACTATTACTATTTTAAACAAAAAAATAAAAATAAAAAAACCTTTCAAGAGCATGGATTTAACAGATGATGCTGATTATTACTATTATTTTTTTTTGACACTTTTAGCAGATGAGACATGCATAGAGATGTACAGTGCATTTTGTTTGTGTGTATGTGATCTTTTTGATACTAGGATTTGTCATTGCTATTTAATATTAAATTAAAAGTTATAATTATTACGGGAAAAATTACATAACTCCCTTCTATTATCATTTTGTCCAAAAAAACCCCACTAAAATTAAACACTCCCCTAAACTAAAAAAATGCTATCAAGTTATCACATACACGTAATCGACCCGTTTATTAGGTTGTGAAATGATAAAACTAATCTTATGATTTAATATTAAATTAAAAATTAATATTTATTATTGTGAAATTACGAAAATACCCATTATCTTCTTCTTCCTCTTCACTCTCTCTAGAACTTTTGCCCCTCTCTAAAATTAGACTCATCTCCACTCCTTCACCTGCATCAACAGCCTCAAGAAGCTCACCGGAGTTTGACTCGGCCAGATGCAGAAGCTCACTGATTTAACAACTAATCATCAATTCAGTTTGAACATATAACTCTGTGTAATTCAATTCAGTACAACAACTAATCATCAAAGAAAAAAAAAGTCCTCCACCATTCTCACATAGTGAAGGGCATAATCAGTGTAATTGATTGTTTGACCAATGTTTAAGAGCTGTAAATAGTTTTGTCACATTAATTTAATAATTTGGCTTCCTAAAGAGAAATTATATCAACAGGGCCCAAAAATCGTAGTACCCAGTATGAGGAAGCTTTGGATATTTAATATGCCTGCTCAAGTTGACCCTCCTCCTAATCTACGATGGCGTTCTCCTCCTGTGGGAGTTTTGAAACTCAATGAAAGTTTGGCCCATCTACAATTGGAGCTGCAGTCTGTACACTAGGTTAGCATGATGATCTAGTGGTTAAAGTTATTCTGCATTCAGCATATATATATATACACACACACACACACACTACAGTTACTACTACTCTTTTCATATAATTCTATGTTTATTAAAAATTTGTACTAGTTGCAAGAATAAACTAAAATAAAGAGCAGTGATAACCTACCACTCCAGAAGCACCCAACAACTGATTTTGATTTGTTTCCCCAACATTCACACTCATATATCTCGAATATATACACACGTATATGTATGTATATATATATACATACACATAAAGATAAAGCTAAAATGTGCAATACAATATATGAACGTCTAAACGAATTCAAAAATACAGATCAATACAACTGTCTTAGAGAAGAGAGAGCTCACAGAGACTTTCGAAGGAGAGAGAGAGTCGTATTGGGCCTTCCAAGTTTCTTGATCTTCGCTGGATCGCTTGGATTAGGAACTTGTGGAATGATGAAGCTTGGTTGGTCGATTCGCGCCGTGTTTGGATGAAAGAGAGAAGCTTGGTGAGTTGGTCGGTTCGCTCCTTCACCTGCATCAATAGCCTCAAGAAGCTCACCGGAGTCTGGCTCGGAGATGGATCTAATTTTAGAGAGAGAGAGAGAGAGAGAGAGAGAGGTGGGGGGGGGGGGGTAAAAAGTTCCATAGACTGAGTGAGGATGAAGAAGAATATGATGGGTATTTTCGTAATTTCACAATAAATATTAGTTTAAATTTAATATTAAATCATAAGGTTAATTTTGTCATTTCACAATTTAATCAAGAGGTCGGTTACGGGTATGTGGTAACTTGATAGCATTTCTTTAGTTCGGGGTGTTTAATTTTAGTGGGGATTTTTTTGGAGGAAAATGATACTAGAAAGGAGTTATGTGATTTTTTCCCTAATTATTATTTGAAAATTACAAAAATAATATTGGAGCAACTTATAGGCCATCGATTGCTAGTAAATAACAGCACATCTTTTATTTATTTATTTATTATTATTATTATTATTATTATTATTTTATAATTGATACTCTCACACACATGTCTTTATGGAGGCTTAAATCCTTTATCTCCCTTTTGGAAGTAAAGGTCTGATACCGCGAAGTCATTGGCTCGTTGATATAACAGCACATCTAACATTAAATAATATTATTATAAAGGGGTATTTTTTAATTTTAAAATAATAATTATAGTTTTCAATTTAATATTAAATAACAAGGTCAAATTTGACATTTCACAACTCATTTAACAAGTCGATCACAACTTTTGGGGTAACTTGATAAGTTTTGTTAGTTCATGGAGTTTTTTTTAATTCTACGAGGGGTGTTATGCACGATTTTGAAACTGTAGGAGGGTTTTATAATTTTAACCCTAAAGAAAACACAATCCAAATTTTAAATAATCATAACTTTCAATCTAGGGAGAGTTACAAGACAGTTAATAACGAGGGTACGCAATTCCCAAACTCTCCAGAAGGTAAATGCCTTAATAGCTATATACAGTGGACAATTGTTTAAAGTTTGTAAAATGACAAGTATTATTTGGTAGACTCTGGGTATGCCAATCAACCAAAATTATTGGCTTTCTATTGTGGCTAATGCTACCACTTACAAGAGTATCGTAGGTCGGCTTTTAGGCCAACACGAGGTAGAAACGAAGTATACAAACATAGGCACTAATTTTTGTGAAATGTCATTGAGCGTTGTTTTGGGATGTTTAAGATGAGATTCCTTATCTTGAAGCAAATGCCTACATATAATTTTGAAGCTCAGGTTGCTATTGTGATAACTTATTGTACACTTCACATCTTCGTAATAATGGAGGCACAAGTGGATGAAATATTTGATGATTAAACCCCCGAATCATCTTCATTATTAGAACTTGAAAAGATGAAGAGGATGATGTTCATGTTATTGTGACGCAGACTAAGTTGCGACAAATGAATCAATTACATGAACGTATTGCTAATAGTGTATGGAATAGACTGTAACACCATTGATATGCAATTTAGGTGTTTCAAACAATGGATAACTGTAATAAGTAGTTGTACTACTTAATTTTAACTATGTTTTAGGATTTGGATAACTGAAATAACTCGTGGCAATGATAGATTAAACGTTTTTACACTTATATATGCAATAATGTATGAAATTCATGGTGAGGGGCCACCTTGTGTATGTAGAAGGGATCCAATGTAACTTTATATGGTTGGAACTACAAAGAATTATGGATGTGTAACGACCCAAATCCGGACATCAACAGAATGACATACAACACTATGTTAAACATGTATGTCTTAATGTAATACAACGCGCTTTCCCGATTTCCCTCCCACCCACACAAACCTAACTCACACCAACATCGTTAACATAAGCCGACCTAAGGCAACTCTTTGGCGTTACGAAGGAAATTGGCTAGCTAAACCTGACCTAGGGCAACTCTGTAACGTCATTTGGCACCTAGATAACTTAATTGTACACGTTCAAATCTGACACATACTCCTTCTAGGTTGGGTTAACCTCACGGACTCATGGCAACTCAATGACACATGATTTTCGCAAACATTGTGTATATATAAAAATCAAGGACCCATGACAACTCCATGGCGCTCGGTTTTGTACTTAAGAATATCATCTTTACCCAATTCTTTGAAAAATCATCCTCCACTGTCAAACTCATCCTTTTCACCCACCCAATGATAAATGCTATGAATGTAACCATGCATTTGATCAATCTAATTTTCATGAAAGAGTCATCATATCAATATAATCATACCACCTTATAATACACTTAGCATGATTTATCAAGGAAACATTTCATTAAGTGTCTAACATGCAATTTAACTAGTAGGATTCTCTTAACATCCATATCACGATTTTAACAACTTTAACAACCCAACCATTCACAATTTCATATGCAAGATCATGGAAAGTTACTTTGTAATACTACTTCCACATATGAACACTTTACTAACCATTATATCACATAGCACAAGAATCCACCTTTTCATCATCTCCAAGCATGGTAATTTTATACATCTAGTAACTAATTAAACAAGTAATCAATTATAAAATAGCATGTTATATACATAACACCATACAAAAATTCACAAAAATCAAAAGAATTGCAGTTTAGACACCCCTACCCCAATGAAGATAAAGCCAAATAAGCAATTAGCCAAACCCAAAATTCAAAATCCCCAAAATGCTAGCAATTTTGGTGTCAAAATATAGCTCTTGATGAGTACTTCAACTTTGTCTTCCCAC